CCCAAAAGATTTTTCTTTTTTCATCCTACTAGAGTAACTTGGTGCAATGCAATATGATGTTTTTTATCAATTTATTCAGCACATCACTCGATTCATGTTCATATTGACAACTGGGGTTTGGGCACATGAATGACAGTCACAAAGTAATCTGAGTGAAAATAGTAAGATAATAAACCAGATTTTGCCACCCCCCATCAATACCTAGGCAACATGCCGAACACACAGAAAAAACAGCTCAAAGAATAGGTTTTGCAAGCACTTTTTTATGTTAAAAGAACAACACTGTGCATATAATTTAACATCTTCAACAGTGAAGAAGACATCTTTGGTCTTTGAAATTCATTGGGTGTAAACAATGATTATTACGCTAAATTAAGAGTGCATCTTTGACTAAAATCCTCACTTTAATAAAATAAAAATAAAACATAATAGCTCAAATTTAAAATGAGGATATAAAAAAATATAAACTAATAAGATCAAATTTTCAAAAATAAAATATAGATTCATGGAATTATGAGGCATGGGTTGCAACAAAAGACACATAGTTTATGATAAGGTTTGAACTAAATGCAAGGCATATGGACGTTCCACACAGAGGAAGAAAAAAACTACGAATATGGATAAAAAAAATTAGTAATTGATAAATTCATCACAATAGGCTATAGAGTATCAATATATGTATTCGCCTGTTCGTTTGGGCTTGTTTGGTTGATAAGCCATGACTGAAAGTACTGTTGGTTGATTTGGTGTGAGAGAAAAATATTGTTAGTTGGTTGAAAAAGTATGGCTTATAAGCCAAACAAGGCCAATCGAACATGAAGATTATTGCTATAAAATAAACAATGAGAGAGAAAGAGAGAGTGCGAATGAAAAAGAAGTGCTTTTATTAGTTATAGTTATTATGCATTAACTCCCAATATTTATGTCTTCTAACGTTCTAGCATATGCAAGAGCATAGGTTGATGGACTAGTATGTCCAATCTCATAAGACTGTAACTAAGTACCCAATCCTAAAACCAACTTACAAGAGAAGAAGTGATACCAGGAATTTGCTGAGGTTGCTAACAAGAACTTGCCGGCTCGAAAACAGGCATATGGTTAGAACTAACAGTTAGTCAGACTAGACTAAAAGTTAGTGCACACATTTGGACGGCCTAGGTAGATGACTAAAGTTTAGTCCAGTAAATAGACTCTAAAATATTCACACATATAATGTAACTGCACACGTCTTTGCTTCCACACCACAGTTGCTTTTATTCAATTTCGACCACCTGCCCAATAGAAATAGAGACGTCGTTGAACGTACTTGATTCTATGAATAAGAAAGTCTCCTATCACCCATCGGTCCTTGAGAACTCGATTCGCCAATCAATTGCGACGTGTCTATATATGCCCCTTAGTTTTCTTACACAATCCATCATGAAATATATGTCTGTTAGCTTGTCGATCGATCATCGATGCCGACGCTATCCAGTTTACGTTGACGCATCACACATGACTCTTATAAGAAAGCCTTTGTTTTTGTTATAAGAAAGCCTTTGTTTTTGTTATCAGGGGCTTCGTCCAACATCTGATTACCAACGTTTTTTTCCTGAACTTGGTCGTCCCTGGTTAGGTGATGAACAAGTATCGTAGCACCAAGCACGCAGCATCCTTGGTGGAGGTTTCCTATTGCACCGGCCCGGTCGTGTCATGCATTCCGGACACAGACGGCAGCACGTACGATTTCCAATTCCGATTCCGATTCCGGAAGTGCATATGAAATTCACACGGGTTGGTATTTGATTTTCTGTACAGATGCCGTGATGTTTTTTTTTCTTTCATTCATTCACAGCAAGAATTGACGCTCAAAAAAATTAATGACATATTTGAAGGGTATTTTCGACCTTCCAAAGTCGAGATCTACAACTTTCTAGTTTTGAGTTTTTTCATTTGAAGTCGTTAAGATGCTCAAAAAAATTAATAACATATTTAGACTTAAGGGTATTTTCGACTTTTCACACCTGTAGTTTGACGGCGTTAGAGCCCAGATTGACGGCAGTGGCATGGAGGACACAAAAAAGTTGAAGCAGTGGCGCTGAAGACCGTTGAACTTTTTCAGGGACACACGGGGCATCGCGATCTTTTTTAATGACACACAGAGAATTCCCCCTTCATGAATCCCAGTCATATGAGGCCACTCTCGGGAGTACACACTATTAATGCAAATGCAAACGGGACGACTTTGGAAGGTACCTGTGCTTGCACCACTACCAACAAGTTAAGGTTCATCGCATTTACATTATTTTGCATGTGAAAAAGATTGTAAATTTGCAAGAACAAAGCGTATAAGGTCAACGGATTATAGGAGTATTAGCGAGGGGTATGTGAGGTTCATGAATCCCAGTCGTCTGAGGTCACTCTCGGGAGTACACACTATTAATGCAAATGCAAACGGGACGACTTTGGAAGGTACCTGTGCTTGCACCACTACCAACAAGTTAAGGTTCATCGCATTTACATTATTTTGCATGTGAAAAAGATTGTAAATTTAGGTTTCTCAACAAAAGATAGTGATGCTTGCGGTACAAAATTTTGTCTTTCAACCCGTCTACAATAGTGAGGGTCTGTTTGGATCTACTGACACCAAATTAGAAGCTAAAATTAGTACAGTGAATCTAACTGGCCTACTAATAAACCTGCTAATTATCAGCCATGGGATTACTAGCTATTAGTTCCATTAGCTGATTTGAAGTGTATATGATAATAGTTCATATGCACGCTCAACTCACTATCCTACGACCACCTATTATCAGGTGGATCTAAATAGCCTCCTATTAAAAATTAGGTAGCTAAAAAATAACAGCTATTACTATTAGCTAGCTAACTTTTAGTGCTGGTTGATCTCAACATGTCCTGAAACCTATGAACGGTTCTATAATTCATATTGTTTCGGACAATAACTCATCTTCGGAACATATTTTTGCCAGTACGTGTACGATTTTATTAAATTATGTTTCAAGATTAATCTATACTTCCCAGGACTATCTCATTGTATTTAAACTGAACATTTGCGAAGTTATTGGTAATTAAAGTGTCAAAACTTTAACCTAAAATTATAAGAGAAACAAAAACATAATAACTCGTATAACCGGTAGGATTTAGCAGCCATCACAGTAGGGGCAGTGGAGCGACAGAACTCGTCGAAATTGGTCGGCTACTTTTCCACCTGCTTGGGACCATGCAAATTATGGTAGCCACCTACTAATTCTTGTATGAAAAAGGGTGTTTTTTATCGTGCCGGGTCAGAAATAAAGGACACATCATTTTCGTCCCCATGTGTACACCCCTGGCTCTCTTGGCTCTGCATTGCCGTACTGACGTGGAAGAAGCAACACCAAAGATGCGTGCGTGCATGCCAGTTGTTTGTCCTTTTCCAAAAGGAAAAACGAAAAAAAAAACTGAATTCCATCCATACGATAGATGAAATTGAAACCTAGGTGGCCGGTGGGCTGCTGCAATTTTTGCAAGGTCCCCATGCTTTTGCTATCACGTATACTACGTGTGAGTGACTGTGTGTTGGTCTATCAGCGGCACTTGTTTATGGCCACAAGACAAGACAGGCCTGCACGTGGGAGGCTATTGTCAGGGTCCCACAACTCTCAACTCTCAACTCTCTATGATCCATCGTGTCACCATCCAGCCGTGAAACTCGTGTCTTCTTTCGTTTATTCTTTTCTGGAGGTGGAGGGTTTCCCCCTTTCGACCAATCAACTAAATAAATAAATCTCGTGAATGAATAAAGAAACGTATGGGGAGATGGTAATGCATGCTTTCCTCCGATCCGGTCATGAGGAAAAACCTGATGTTCTAGTTTATTTTCTTTAAATCAAATTGCCTTAAGCTTGACCAAATATGCAGATAAAAAATTGTCAACATTTATGAGACAATACAGATAGAGTATGAAAAATGTGTTTATGAAGAATCTTGAGGATATAAATATTAGTATTCATTTCTATAAATGAATCTGATAATATAAAGCCGGTTTGAAACATGAATATATCATTCTTATAAGATAATATAGGGATAACACACATACCCCTCCGATCTTAAATAAATAGAGAAAACAAAAAAATTGGCAGCGACAGGACAGAGTCAAAACTGGAATTTATATAGGATTAAAAAATTTGAAATTTATATTACAAGTTTTACGGTGGTTAAGAGAGATATGAACCGTCCATGAAGAGAGATCGAATGGTGAAGAAATCGGAGGTTACAAAAAAGTACTGAAATGTACCAAATAAATAAGATTAGTAACAAAATACATGGGGCCAGTACCAATGCTTTTTTTTCAATTTCTATTAAAATGAAAAGGTAAATTGGTAATTTGGCTGAGCTCCCGTGGCACCCCCTCCGGCTGGCCCTGGGGTTCAGCCTTCTGCTGCGATTCTCCGGCCCATCGCCAGCCCGTAGACACCACCTGCCTTCGCCCGCTGCGCAGGCCTGTACGGCCCAGACAGTGCCCCCAGGCCCCAGCTTTCCTGGCCCGCCTTGGACTGCTCAGCCTGCATCATGTAGCCATCCGCTGGCCCGCTCGCACAGCCGCGCGCACTCACCAAAGTTTCAGTTCTGCAACTCTAAGAATTTTTTTTTCTCCTAATTATGAAAATAGACTGACAGCATCATATTCTTGACCAAAGTTCTCACAAATTTGCGTAGCAACCCAACCATGCAAGAGTTCAAACAAAATTGGTAGAGCATACTACCATGATGACATGAAAAAGGATCTCTTATATATTGTTCGTTTGTTTGTTTGTTTTTGTCGGAGCCGACGGAGAGGGAAACTGTCACTGCTCCAATAGCATTTAAAATTTGTCGGAGCCGCGTGTACCACGTGAAAACGATGCTTGCTTGAACTCCACGTAGGGTTAGCACCACACACACATAAATATCTATATATAATATCTTGCCGTGCTAGCTAGCTCAATAAACAGCGCACACACACTGACTCATACGACAGGATGGGGTTCTCGGTGTTGCTTGCTGCTTACACAGTGACACTGCTGCTGGCGTTCACCATTGCCACCCTGCACAGATCTATACAGAGCAAGCGTACTTCCGCGACAGCTCTCAACAAACCGGCTCCTCCTCCTGGCCCCGCCGGCTACCCTCTCCTCGGCAGCCTCCTCTACGTCATCGGGCCCCTCCGACACAACCCGCACCGGAGCCTCGTCGCCCTCGCGAAAGCCCACGGCCCCATCGTGTACCTCCGGCTCGGCCTGACCCGCGCCATGGCCGTGGTCTCGTCCGCCGCCGTCGCCCACGAGGCCCTGGTGAAGAACGACGCGGCGCTCGCGGCCCGGCTCGTCCCCGACAACGTGCGCGCGCTGTCGTACGGCGCCACGTCCATGGTCTTCCTCCCGAGCTCCGACCAGCTGTGGCGGCAGCTCCGCGTCCTGATCGGCGCCGGCTTCTCCTCCAGCCAAATCCGCCCTGTCCTGGAACGCCGTGCCGGCCAGCTCGCCGAGCACGTGAGGGCGTGCGCTGGCTCCGGCAGGCCAGTGAACATCCGGGAGGCCGTGAACGGCACGGTGCTCAACGTCGTGTCGAACGTTCTCTTCTCCGAGGACGTGGTGGACCTGCGCGAGCAGCAGAAGGCACAGACGTTCAAGAGCCTCGTCGTGCCCGTGCTTGAGGAGTGGTCCAAGCCCAGCGTCTCCGACGCCTTCCCTTTCCTGGCGCCGCTGGAACACCTCCTCGGCTCGCGCCGCCGCATCTCCACGCACCTGGCCAAGCTGTTCAGGTTCTTTGATGAGGTGATCATTGAGAAACGATTAGCTTGTTGCGAGAAGCACAATGACATCTTGGATGTCCTCCTCTCCCGGATGGCCATGGCCAAGCTCACGCGCCAACAGATCACTACATTTATAACAGTACGCATACACACATACTATATTGGATAAACTTTGCATGATTACATTGAATATAACCCTGCATCATCGGTTTATAGGATATGTTCATCGCGGCGAGTGACACGAGCACGGTAACCGTGCAATGGGCGATGGCGGAGCTGCTTCGCCACCCGGAGAAGATGAAGAAGGTGAACGCCGAGCTCGCTGAGAAACTAGGGTCTAAAGATTTCGTCACGGAGAGCGACCTCAGCGAGCTGCCGTACCTCCATGCCGTGGTGAAGGAGACACTTCGCCTACACCCAGCAGTACCTCTGATACCGCGTGAGGTTGTCGCGGATGACATGTCTCTAGGTGGATTCCATGTGCCGAAAGGGACGGGCGTCATTGTTAACCTGTGAGCGATAGGAAGGGACGAGAGCGCATGGCCTCGTGCCGAGGAGTTCATCCCGGAGAGGTTCTTGGCTGGCCAGGAGGTGAACTCATCAATGGTGAAGGAGGCGTATAGGCCGTTTGGTGCGGGGCGTAGGGTGTGCCCTGGAATGGAGTACACCGCGCGGTCTGTGCCGTTGCTGCTGGCCTCGATTCTGCACAGAAATGAGTGGAGACTACCTGATGGTGATGGGATCGGATCGGAGGGAATGGACCTCCATGACCGCTATGGCACCGTGTTGAATCCGGCGACCCCCTTACATGCTGTGCTAGTGTCTACCGTGTGATGTGTTTGGTATACACATTGTAATTAAGGGAATAAATAAAAGTGGGAACAAGTATGTATGTCTGTGTTTTGTAACACAAGCATATATAATCAATGTATCACGCGTAATAGATCAGGTGGTCACACACAGGACGACACAGATTGATACTGGTCTAGGTAGATGATGTCCCACGTCTCGTGTATGATGATGCTTGTATTACTTGTGTGCTGTATGTTGATATATGCAGAGGGGGTGATGTATTTGGTACCGATTAGGGAGGAGTAGAGGGGTTCTATCCCTCCTTTTATAGTCTGGAGGGATAATATTATAGATGAAGTCACTTCTTGATTGTTATACATATTACTCTCTCCGTCCTAAAGTGACGTTTTTTACTACATTGGACCCAGTGCTCAGGTACTTTAGCCAATAGTAGGACAAAGAAATTTTGAATGGTGATGTAGGCGGGGGTTTCCGAGGAATCCAAATAACCTCTATTTTTTCAGATTTGACATGCATCCGGAATAACTAGTGAATTACAACTCTATTGTACCGCAATTGGTGCATTGATTTTTGCATCGTTAATATTTTTTGCCGGTTGGTTCCATTATCACAACCATCTTGTTTGACCGTTCGTTTTATTCAAATTTTTTAAGAGATACAATAATAAACTCTGGACTTTAATTTCTAGCTTGGCATGTGCTTACAGTCTGCAAAATTGATAATGATGCATCTGTTATTTTTACACTGTAGTGTAATAGTGTGTCAGAAAAAATAACCACCCTACAAGTTCGAGTTTCCAAAAAGAAAAAAGAAAACAAAGAGAAGAATCTACATATACAGTGTATAGAAAGTGGCCTGAACCAACTGGCCTTTTTGGCACGATTTCAACTCGTGGCTCCTTGCAAGGAGGCCTACCAAACACTTGTAGATGCGCCTCAATCAAAACTACTAAAAAGTCCTTTTTAACAAAAAAAACTACTAAAAAGTGTTGAGAGATTAGCTGGATTGCATAGATGCAAGATCAAGAACTAGGATCAAAATAAGAAATAAGCTCTTTATTTCTTGGATATGTTTCGATATATGAATGTATACTATGTTGTTCTAGATGTCATTTTAAGTTATTCTACCATCTCCTTTTTAGAGCGGAGATGTTGATGAATATTACGTATAGTCTTTTCTTTTATTTAATTTAGTCACCATTAAAGCAGTTTTTATATTTATTATTATTTTATTTGTTTTCTTCTCGTTTAATTGGTCACCACCAGAGTCTTCTTTTCCTATCATTTTTTAACTTTGGCTGTATAAAAAAAATGTTTTTTTCTAAAACCCACAAAGCCCTCCTCTTCTCTCTCTCACTTTCCCCAACCCCACACCAGATCGAGCACACCGATCTAGGGTTCCACCTCGTCTTCCGCTCGCCGGCGAGGAGCCGTTCGGGACCCAGACGCGACCAAGGGAGATGAAGTTCGCGGGGCTCAAGTCTGTGGACGGCGCCCACGAGGAGTCCATCACGCCGCCGACCACCGCCCCACGGCGGTGCTCCTCACCGGCGCGCTCGACGAGACCGTCCGCGCTTGGCTCCCCGACGACCTCGCCGCCTTGGGGTCCCCCGCGCGGGGCCACGCGCTCGGGGTCGTCTCCCTCGCCGCCCACCCCGCCGGCGCGCTTGGCGCCGCCGTGTGGCTCGACAGCTTCATCCGCGTCTTCGACGTCGACACGGGAGCATCCGTCGCCACGTTGGAGGCGCCGCCGTCCGAGGTCTGGGGCGTCCAGTTCCACCCCAAGGTGACTGCGTGGCTGGTTCCTCCTAGTTGGGACTCTGGATTTTTTAAAAGGCAAAAATGGTTGCTTTCCCGCGATTTCTGTTGTAACTTAGGTTGCAGTCCATAGGTGATTGAGCTAAATGTGTGGGATTTTAATTAGATGTGTGGTGATTCTAGTAATTCGTGGGCAGAGTGCTGCAAAAATGTTGTCCTGGGTTGGATTTTGTGGGTTTCACAATTACTGTTAAGTGTTCTAGTGCAGATTGATAATGAATGGTGTATACCTCTGATGGCCTGGTTCACTTTGTAGATTTCAGGGTTTCACAATTACTGTTAAGTGTGCTAGTGCAAGATGATATTTAAAAAGCATTCATGGATGGGGTTTAAAAGGCACTACCTCCACCCTAAAATATAGTGCATCGTGACTTCTAAAACTTGTACTGAAATATAGTGCGTCAATGCCTAGATTTGATAAAATTTATTAAAAAGGAAACCTTAATTTGAGGATAAACACCTTATTTGGTATTAATCTATGGGTACATGCATCATTTGAGTTTCTCTTAAGTTGTCTTAATTTTTTTGGAATATACTATATTATAGGACAGAGGGAGTAGGCACTTATGGATAGATTTGAGTAATCTAAAATACCTAATAATTTCGAACAAATTTTGAATCATCGATACCTTGTATTTTAGGATGTAGGAAGTATATATTTTGATAGACCTCCTAGACTATTACACTATGGATCTAGAGATCAATGTGGTAGTTTTAGGCTTACATTCATTTTTGTATGGTTGTTTTTTCCCAACATGTGGAGATCAAATTACCATTTTTTGTAATTTTTAATTTGAACTTATCCATGTAGTTACTATAACAATATTCTTTTTTCTTTCCAATTTGCTTGCAAGTCAAACTATTAGTTTTCATAGTTTTGTTCAAATTTTGCCTTTACGAATTGTTTATTACATGACTCTTCATTTACGTATTTTCTTTCCGCTTGGAAATAAAATTGTTATTTCTCTTTAATTTATCATCTATCATTTGTTATTTATTAATTGAATTAGGTATGTGTCGATGTTTTACCACCGGCAACCCGCCACGGGAGTACCCGGGGCGGTGATTTGTTCGGAGGAGTATCGGCGTATGCAGGAACTCGATGGTAAACGCAGAGAGACAACGATTTATACTGGTTCGGTACGCTGGAAAGTCACGGCCTACGTCCAGTCTGGTGTGGATAGTATATTGCGCCCTGCGCTATTTGTTGTGTTTTGTGAGTTCTGGTATTGTCTCTCTCCATCTAGGGACCCCTGCCCTCCTTTATATAGTCCAGGAGAGGCGGGAGTCCTAGTTGGTTACAAAGTAGAGATCCTAATAGAATTATACGTAACTAGTCCTAATAGGATTACATGTAGGGAATCCTAGTTGGACTAGGTCTTTTTCTCTCTTCTCCGTGCGGAACCCTATGGGTCCCGCATCGACATTATGCATTTTTTTGTTTAATCTAAGTTGTTAGACCATCATAAAATCCAACTGTGTATGTTCTTTTCTTTTCTTTTTTTGATTATATAATGTGTTAATTTGTATGCTGTCAAGGACAACAAACCCCGATTGTGGACTGGACTGTAACCTCGGCCTTTTAGGGGAGCTCGAGAAGCCGTCGGTACCAACCGAATCTTCTCCCATGATGAGTGAGGTTATACCCCTCTTCCGTAGGCTTACGAGAGAGAATAGAGAGAGATTAGGGATAACTTTATTGCTTGCTTGATCATGACCTCTAGTACAGTTTATATAGGCCCATGGCCGCCACACTTGGCAACAATAAAATAGGAAATAACTAATTAGGGATGAATCCCTAAACTTTAGGCCAATCACTTATCTAATCAAATCACCACTTTCCTTAGCCGCACCTTCCTCCCCGATCACCTTGCGCTGCTTGCCTCGGTAGCGTCTTTGAAAGCAGGTGGGTGTTGACGACATCACGGGCCCTTTCACGACGTAGGCGTAAGTGCAAGCCCACATGACATCTCCCCCTCGAGAGTCACTCGTCCTCATTTGGAAGTCTGCAAGCCGCTCATGGAAGGATTCAGCATCTTCCCATGTGGCCGACTCTGGAGGTTCGCCGCGCCAATGGACGAGCAGCTGACGAACGCCTCACGCCAAGCGAGCATGCTCAACCCTGCTGGGCTCTGTAGCCACCGTACCATGGTGGATGTGCGGCAGAGCCGGTGGAGCGTCCGGGGGGGTGCCGGCGAACTTCTTGAGGGTATCGACATGAAACACATCATGTATACGAAGCTATGGGGAAGCTCGAGACGACGACGCACAACCACATCGTTGATGATCTCGCAGACGCGGTAGGGCCCGATGTAGAGGCGGCTTCCGACTTGCCGGTCTGCGCTCCGAGGAAGGGACGCCATGGTGCGTTGTCGAAAGCAGAGCGGTCAATCGCCGACTGGTAGTGATGAGGACCGGCGATGCGCTGGGTCGTCGAGTGGCGCTTTCGACACCCCGTGCTTGCTCCAAGCGGTAGCAGCGAACATCGCCTAGGAAGGCCTCGCGCTCCTCCATGTCAAGCGCCATCGCCAGAACTTCGCGTCTCACCGAGTTGCTCGTATGAGCGGATGGTGGGCGGTCGTGGCCGACACCACGCTGAACGGCGTCTCTCAAGCGAGGGATCGATAGGCCGTGTTGTACACGTATTTCGGCCCATATGGAAGCCATCGCGCGACCCTTCGCCGGGTCGGTCACCAGAAAAGCAGCGTAAGTACATGACAATGACCTTGTTGGCCGCCCCTCCGCGTTTGGCCGCGTCGGACCGGGGTGGAAGGCGGAGGTCATGTGTAGCTTGGTGCCCATGAGGCGATCGGCTCGCGCCCGTAGCAATGAAGTGAACACCGGGTCACGGTCGGACACCATGGATCGCGGCGAGCCATGGAGGCG